TTTCCTTGCTTCATTAAGCATTTTGCAGCCACGTGTCCTTCATTCCCACATTTAAAACATCGAAAAAAATTCTTCGGAGCTACATTCTTTGCAAAGGGACAGTTTCTCGCAATATAATTTAACCTTTTGCAGTTGTAACACACTAACGAATTTTTTGTGGCTTGATTTCGAAAAATAGCGTCAACAGCATCATCGACCCATGCACGATTCAAAGCAGCTCTTACTTTGGGTAACATAACATCTATTAGATCCATAACAACTCGAAATCTTGATGATAAATCTTCGGGCAATCCAACAACAAACGTTAATCGAATAGATTCTTCTGAAAATTTAGCAAGATAGGCCAATCGTTTTAAGTCGGCCAAAAACACATCATCTTTCTCTCCAACATTTAATTTTTGTTTAACAAAAAGTTCCAATGCCGTATAAGCATCTAAAGAGAATGCTGCTAACAAGACACGCTCAACTTCTTCTTCGTCTAGCTTATTTTCAGCGTTTAAACCATCAATACTAAACATATTAAATAGACAGTTCCTCTTAGAAGAATTGGAAAAAGTGACTTCAGCTTTACGTTTTGCATTTCTACAATCACTTTAGTTCGCTGTATCCAAACGGTAGCGTCTAATGTTCCATCAAATGTTTGAAACATAACCAATAACTTGATATTCGAATCCATGCCCAGTTAGCTTATAATTTTCTTGCTTGAAACAAAACTTTTTTCTTTCCAAAAATTTAGAATTCAGCTCATCTTACAATAGTTTTACATCCATTTATAAAATATATCTACCCACAAAATCAACATTACAAAAACCGCTTAATACATAACTACAATTAAAATAATTGAAAACTATCAGTGAAAGAAACCACATGATTGCCGAGGATGTTCTAGAACTTTCTCCACTTTATTTAAAGGACTGTCTGGAAAACGAGATGGAAAGATGACTATTTCCGTTATAGGTTGAGAAAGACAAAAGTTGTGGACCATAACGCTTGCAGAGCCACTTACACTAGAGCATTAAACTTACCAACATCAACGATATTGACTAAAGGTTTAAAGGGTAGGACTCGGTCAATTTTATTAGAAATAAAATCAAAAAGAGTTTTGAGATGAAGGAGAGCAATATAGAACAAAGAACAAGGCAATAGAGTGAAGTGACGCTAGACAAAAGCGCTTAAAAGAATAGTCTGTGAATTTAAAACTAGTTTCGAGACAAATGGGTGAGTTAATACGAATGAAAATGGCAAGGCGATGCATGTGACTAATGGAGTCTTAAACATTAAACGATAACCTTAAATATTAAAGGATAACCTTTAACACTAAAATCACAAGATAAGACAGATGAAATCAAATTAGTATCACAAAGAGCAAGTAGGTATTTTGAACTTTACAAGAAATAAGACTCAACAGAAAAAATAATTACATCGAAGACCACAAATTAGTGAATGATACATTTAGAGATATTGGTGATTACGATAGTTTTTTAATTGTTTGAGTATTTTGTACATTTATAAATTTGTTAAACAACTTAGCTCAAAACACAGATAGTATTTAGTACACTATTCAATTACCCAAGCCATTGTCTCATTACGATTAATAAACCCTAAGCCATAACACTCCATATGTGGTCTCAACAATGCACACCAAAAGTACCAACAGGGACACTATCCGTGCGCAATATGGCACTGTTAATACTCTGATTTTGTACAGCTGTTGATGGAATAAGCCTCCCTGGGAACTACCATATTTAATCATTATTTTTAAAAATTATTTAAGTTTACCTGTTGCACAAAGAATTGCACCAGAGATTTTGTGATTCTTTATTTTCTTTAAATAGCTTAGGAAGCTTACTACACAAGCAACAAAGTATGTCAAGCAACCAAGAACCATGAATGCTTTTATAACATTGTATTTTTCTAAAACAAAAATTTTAAAGATTACTTTATATAATAAACAAACTTAAAATTAAGTAAGTACCATCGAACAGTGTCTTCATTAAACGAATAGCTAATAGTAATTTGCTAAACTTCGTTACCGAAGTTTTACAATTAGCGAATACTCAAATTCAATTGGCAATTTTAAAAGAACTTTGCCGGTGCTTGCAACCAAAACTAATCAACAATTCACAAGTTTCGCTTTCTTTTACAAAGTAAGTTACACACATTTTGACCACCTAGATGTACACTCTTTCTCAACATGCTCACGCACATTTAAAAAATGTTGTCGGCAAGAATTGCTAATTATTAAATGTAAAACTTTAATCTGAATTTGCTAAAAGTAACTTTTTTTTAAACAACTGCTAACAAACACTTTTTAGGATTTGCGTAAAGTTCGTATTGGAGAAAAAAAAAATAGAAAAATGGGTCTAGAACTTTGAAAACATTAAGTTTTTACTGTTTGCTACATTTTTTTCAAAAATTTATTTTTTAAATATAATATATATATATATATATATATATATATATATATATATATATATATATATATATATATATATATATATATATATATATATATATATATATATATATATATGTATATATATATATATATATATATATATATATATATATATATTGTTGTTGTATGATTTAGTATTAAAAATACTAAACTCTTGATCGTTGTAGAGTGCTCAATATTTAAGAAATATTTAGTTTTTCAAAAACAGAGCGTTTTATACTTAAATATAGAAAAAACAACTTTTAATGGAACTTAAAGTTTCATGTCTATCGGCAATCATCAGCCATGAAGTACCTGCATTAAATATAATCAGATTTTATCATTTTTATCTTTATCAAGAACTTCTTGTTTACTTTGCATTTAGGTTATGTAGGTTTCAATTTTGTTCAAAGCCATAACTTTATTTTTATGTATTATAAGTAATTATATATATATATATATATATATACATATATATATATATTAT